TTTGTTATTGTCAGGAGAAGGTTCTTATCAAAGGAAATATTAGAAAAGTAGGGGGAAAAACTGGGGAAAAGGGAACCTTTCATTGTTAGCGAGATAGTTGACCCGTGCGAAGCGGGGTGGGCCGCTAGTTGCTTATAATAATATGACTGTTTTTGCGCAGCCAATGACGCAGTCTGCTATGTGCGTAAACGAGACAACACTGATCTTCTGTGAGTCAGCAAAGATTTGAGAGGGTTGATTGAAAAATTTGAATATGGGTTCATCACAAGACCAAAGTCAAAATTATTTATTCTAACTAAACCCTATATCGGTGCTTTTGAAACGTCAAAATGTAATGTAAGTAGTAGTCTGTGTCTGTTCGCAACCGTAAGAGTGTAGATTCTAATGAAGACTAAGGAAAAACAAAATCCTTTATTGATACCAATTCAAAAAAAAGTTGTAGAAGTTCACTAATACATTATTAAATACACATTATGGTACCTTTTGTGTAAGAACAACGGATAGAACAAGTTGTTAAAAAGAGAACAAACGATTGGATCAATTCCTCATCATTAAATTTTCAATATCGTCTCGAACATGGCCCTCACATATACATACTGACAATCCAAAATAATGCTTTTATATAAACTCTGTGTTTAAAATACAGCCAATAGAAATCTACTGCTGAACTTTGAATCTTCTCTACTTAAGACCATAGCTTATAAGCAAGGCAAGAGAAATTAAAATCGTATTTTAGATGGTTTAGGTTAAGCAGATAGTGACGTTGACGGCAGCTAATGCTGTCAATTTGTAGGTACACAATCATCTGATTAGACCAGCATATATTCTACTAGACTAGACTATTTGGCTCATACAACAGAAACGCTAGCACAATAATAATCTGTGATATCTAAATTTAGAAGGGGTCAAGTTCGGCCAAACTATTGCAGTTATCCATCAGAGTTTGTCGTGCCACGACAGGACCGTCTAAGACTTCAATTAGACTCAATAACCCCGGTGGAATCGAAGTATAAGTCGAGCTCTGATCGTTTGGGAAGTATGGAGTTCACAGCATAGTCAAGAATGTTTTTGAAAAAGAATTTATTTTAAGAACTGCTTTTAATTTCAGAAAAAGTAGCAAAAAGCATGCAGGTCCAGTCAATTGTCATCATTCAGGGCTGTGGGTGCAAACTCAACAATGTATTACAGCTCTGGCTTAGTGCAGGAAAAGGAATGTGGTAATTTTTATCAAGCAAAAATCTGAGTCTTCCTCTCTCCTAGAGCGGAATAAGTCATTTAATTTTTCCTCTGTACACGCCTCGTCCTGGGCGAGAGAAGTTATTTGATGGTCTACCTTTAGAAAAAGGCAGAAAGAAGAAGTGAATTATGAAAAATGAGACCGGGCATTTACTCACTAATTATCGGATGGTCAGCTTTGATAGTCTTTGATGACTGATGATGATACTATTTTAGTAGTTGGACATCTGGAAAATTAATAGCGAGGAACCAAAAGAGACCAAAATGATTCCAAAATGCAGTGTTAATAATAATATCAATTATAAAGCAATAATTCATTGCAATAATATTCAAAATTGTTTCTAGTTCTTTCGATAATTCGATTTGTGTAATGGTACCGCTAATTCCCAATCCTGAATAAATTTTCAACACTAACGTGATAATTGTCTGAAAACTTAGACATTGCAGTCTAAATAGACGAAAATATTGGCTACTAACGTTATTGAGATTCAATATTTGCTCAGGTATACTCGTAAATATTTAATCAAACATTTTGGCGTCTGAATTATTTTTCAGTTCAAAATTGTTGATATGTAATGTTTCAGTTAATGTTCTATGGTTGACCTCAACTTAGCAGAGGGCACTTATAAGCTGGTTATGTAACTTCATGAGAGTGTTGTGACCCAAATATATTTTCTTCGCTGTTCAAATATAATCAAGTAACTTGTTAATAAAGTCAAACAACAGTCTTTCTAACATAGTATACCTATAATCTCTCCATGTGTTTGCAACGTATACGGAAGATCAAGTCAAAAGTTCTCGCTTTACACCGTATTTCATCAACCAGTAAATGTTCAAAGCACAACCAACAAAAAACCTATCAATTCGTCTATATTACAATGCCATACTATTCTCAAGAACTCCAAATCAGAAAATCCACAAATCCCTAATCCCGAAAAGACCGGCAACGAACCTATGAAGTTCCATGGGAGTATCATCAGGCACTTCCTCTGCTCTTTAGCCACTTTATCAGCCTGCCAAGTCTTCTACAATACGTCCATTACCTACTCGTACATTTAAGAATTTCGTTTCAAAAAATTCCGTTTTATTTTGGTCTATCTGAACGACCGCCTCTAACTCTGGCTAACTAATCAAAGATGGGAGCTATTATCTAGATTACCTACACTGCCGTGCAAACAATGCCTGTTTACATAAAATCTAGGTATAAGATTCCTAACGCTGTTATCAGTTAATCCGTGTACTGTTCTATCCTTATTATATATTTACAAGGCTATTATAAAATAAGTTATCTGCGTTACACTGTTTGTTAGTGACTAACGAAAAAACAGATTTTTGGGATTTCCATGGTCAGTTAGTGTACAATGACAAACTTACGGTAATCCAAACTAATATTATAAATGCAAAAGTAATTCTGTCTGTCTGTCTGTCTGTCTTTTCTTCACGCCTAAACTGCAGAATCAATTTCTTTGAAATTTAATATAGGTTGACATAGTTTGGCACTCGAGAAAGAATATAGGATAGTTTTTGTACAAAAAATCTGCAGGAAGTCACAATGCCACACGAACAGAGTTGCGGCCAAAAGCTAGTTATTATTATAATTTAGAGAACTCGAGTATCACTTTTGAAAACCACCTCGTTCCAAATCCTGCTCCTGGGTCAGGCCGTCGTATGTCAAACGCAATGGATATAGCTGACCCGCAAACTGGATCGGGCACTCGGGTGATCGCTTATACCTAGGTACTGATAACAGCATAATAAAAATTAAAGTTTTTAACTCTAGTCATTGTTATCATTTTAAGATTCCCCCCTTCATTAAAAGCAATTAGTCAATTAAACTCCACAAATGCATAATTTTCGATTATTGTCTGCTAATAATTTGGATTTGATAGCGTAACATAATGATTTTATTTATCTACGGAAATATTTCCTTTTAACGTTGATTAAAAATGGACATTCATCCATAAAATGGTTTAAAAATTATGTTACTCAGGAACTATGCCCGATAAAATAACTAATTCTATTCAAAACACACATATTTACTTTCCACGAAAATTATTGTAAATCACAATGCATACTAAAATATACATAAGACATCACGTTTTTCCGGACACAAGACAATGGATCGTCATATATGTACATGTTCTTAACGTCATTAATTGGGTCTTTCACTGCCATAAATCTCTTTTTGCATGCTCTGTTGTTATAATATGCATAGAAAATTGTGTACTAGGCACTTTTCTACGAACATTGATTGTTCAAGAGCATGTAATAATATGTAGGTTTCGTTCAAAGGATATTTTATTGTAACGAGTTGTCTCATAGCTCGATAGATGGCGTTGCCCGATTTAAATTCAAGCTATGGTTTCGTTACAGCAAATACTATAAGAGTGTAATTTATTTTGTTATTAGAGTTCAGATTCATAGTACAAATTAATTCAGAATCATAGTTCAGATTCATAGTACAAATTAATTCAGAATCATAGTTCAGATTCATAGTACAAATTAGTTCAGACCATAGTTCATATCCATAGTTCAAATCAGTTCAAATATACGAACCAGCAGTTCAAGCGTAATAAGTAGTTTAATTTCAACCCTATTATTAGCTACATATATTTGATCGAGATTTTAGTCTGAGACGAATCTAAAACTGTTTTTAGAGTCTACCTTTCTATAGCTAAGTATCTGTCTATGTATAAAGTCGTACACTTCTTATATAGAAGGATTTGAAATCTAGCAATTACTAATGTGACTTTTTCCGAGGTATATGTACTTTCTAAGTTTATATAGACACCCACTGCTGAGAAGGAACACATCGTGAGGGAAACGCGAATTATACCTGCTGCTCGGCTTTTACAAATCATAGTGTGATGTTTTATACCCTAATAGCTACTCTCGCGCGATTTCACCCGCTGCACAGCTCCATTACATCGTAGCGTGATGTTTTATAGCCTATAGCACTCCGGAACATTGTAGTTATCTATCAGGTAAGGTACTTTGGCAATCCGACCAGCGGTTCCAAAGATTACGCCCTACATATAAACTTACAAATTTTACCTCTCTATAATATTAGTATAGAAGTATAGATAAATCAAACACAAAAAGAATTATTCAATTCGAACCAGTAGTTCCAGAGATCAGCGCGTATAAACAAACAAACTCTCCTGCTTTATAATATTAGTATAGATAAGTTTGATATGAGCTTTGAGCAAGCATGGTGATTAATGGTCAAACCTTCTCCGTGTGAGAAGAGGCCTTTGCACATCAGTGGAACACTTATAGGTTGATGATGTGGATAATGTGGTGTGGTTTAAATAGCCTACGTTTGATGGTTCTGCTGTTATTGTAGTTACACATGGGTTTTTACATATCAATTCGTGTAACGAAACAAAGTCACCTTCACGATTTTTTAAATAATTCTCTAACACAGCTATATTTATATTCGTTGTGGTTGCAAGTGCTATAATGATTCGTGGCCCTGGTTCGGAGAAGGAGAAAGAACGGAATGGTTTTTAGTCAGTAAGAGTTTGATACTCCCTCTCAACCCATCTGATGGAGAAGGGGATGATGGTTTCCCGCCCTCAGAAAAGGCTATTTCTAAATAAGTGTTTAACCTATATTTTATTATCTAAAGTACGATGTCATATGGGTTGTTTGTCGTCATCATCGATATAGGAAAGTCCAAAATCGTGGCTATCCCATCAAATCAGACTCAACACGATCAATATTTAGAAAAACTCTTTGATAACCAAAAGTTTAAAATTTACCTTATTAAATCCATTGGAATCAGATTCAGGTTTAGGTGCTGTATCAAAGAGATTCAATCTGGAACTCTGGAATAAATCTGGACTGGAATTTTCTCTGGAAAACAGTTCAGCTGTCGAACTCTCTCTTGTTAGAGACGGCCTCGCTTTCACGAAGGGATTATTTCTTGAAGCGTGAGTTTTCTTCAACCAATTGAACTTGTTCACATTTTGAGGACCTGGAGAGGGTGTGGGAGTATCTTCTGGAGTGTCAGTAGGAGTTGGAGACTCCGGTGTTGACGCCATATTATAAAAAATACTTTCAACACTGTCTTGTTTCACTCTACCACCGCCGTCTATGTTCGATACAATTATATTTAGATTAAATGAACAATTTTATCAAACACTCCGAGTGTAAACAAAACTTCTTCAACACAACACTGAAACACTATAATAATTTATTTATTAACGGACATTTTCACAAAGATTACTTGAGCCCGACGTCACAGAGCGCGAAATTAATTTACTACACATGTAAATGTGGTGTATTGAAACGGATAAATTTAGAATTTAGCAATTATATGAATGGGCACGTCTGTTTTCGTTAGGGCCGCGCGCGCGACTGTAATAGATACGTTTCTCGATCCACTCTTGCGCACCCAACAGTGTACTAGACGATTTATAAGATAGTTTGCTATACATATATCATTTGATTTGGATCGAGTGTAGTTTTTACTTATTTGTATGTGTAAAATAGTATATGTTAATATGAGAGGCTAAATATTTTTGCTGTGTGACGTCATACCGTATTGTTTAGTGAAATACACGGAATGGCAATGAACCTAAAGATTTTTATGTTGTTATATGCTAATAAAAAATGTTTAGTCCGATTGATCTCATTGTGTTGTTTTATGGTGTTTTGGTGTGGAACGCATAGATCTGTTAGATTTTTCTTTTGTTATGTTCATTATTGATAGATGAAAGGAATAAATACTTTTTTAATTTGTATGATTTTTCAAGATGCCTTGTCTGCCGGTTGTATCGGGTACTTTTTTAATGTGGACAATCGTCAAATTACTTTTCGCACCTTGGGTGGGGCGGTTAAGAGTATCAGATTCAAACTTATTAAAAACCTTGTTCTGTATCCTGCTCTAGGCTGGGACTGCGGTAGGTACATCATTCCGTCTTTATGTAGATTTTTAAAAGAGCTGGTTTATTGCTTGTTTTCAAAAATAAATTCGTTGTTTCACTGTTGTATTGTTTCTTCATTGAGCATGAACCCGCATCCAAGGCTGACAGTGCATCGGATATTGGGTTTAATATTTAGATTAAGGTTCTTTTTAATTTCATTTTTTTGTCATTGGTCGGCAAACTAAATGACGGATTACGTGATGGTAAGCAATCAGCGTCCCCCATGAACACTTATTATACCATTCTCGGAAAGATTGGGCCTCCGGCGTACCTGGCGAAGCAAATCATACGTGTTAATTATTATGTTTTCAGCTTACTCACGTAATAATCTGACGAGATACTCGACTACTTTCAAGCCATGCTAGAGGCCCACATTCATGAGCAGCATTCCGCGACACGCGACTCGGCGACTGTCGCGGAATAAGAAGTAGCAGCGCGACAGTCGCCGAGTGGCTTGAAACTACTTAGTCGAGTATCTCGTCAAATTATTACGTGAGTAAGCCGAAAACATAATAATTAATTTAGAATGTCTCACGAAAGTTATAATAAAAATCATACGTGTTGCTTCACGCCGGGTCTCTATTAGGCCGTGGTATCTTGTGATGGTTTCACTCCGGTCGAGCCGACACATTCGTGCCGAAACATGGCTCTCCCACACTTAATTCAATTTGGATTTGTGTTCCAATATTATTTAGTCATAATCTCTTATTAGTTATTACAGTGAATAACATAACAACTAATTACTTAGTAAATCATCATCATCATCATCATCAGCCTATAAGTGCCCACTGCTGAGCAAAGGCCTCTTCTCACACGGAGAAGGTTAGAGCATTAATCACCACGTTTGCTCAATGCGGGTTGGTGATTTCAAACTTATAATTACATAGAAATTATAAGTCCAGGTTTCCTCACGATGTTTACCTTCACCGTATGTCAGTGGTGTCTAAATAATCATTTGTTTAGAAAGTACATATAACTCGGAAAAAGTCACATTAGTACTTGCCAGGTTTCGAACCCAGACCCTCATGCGTGAGAAGCGGGCTCCTTAACCACCACGACAGATCATCCTCATTAAATATCGGATCAGAAAATACTTCTATCTACCTCTGCAAGGCAAAGGGATGGTGTTATGTAACATGAATTAGTACCTTATCTATATAGCTACAAGCTCGACTTTTCCAAGCCATTTGAACTTTTGCTATCCGACAAAATGGCGCCAGCAATTAGTACATTGTTACTGCAAATTGAACTTTAATTACTATTGTCACAGTTCATTTTGAGCTTGCCGATAATTAACACATTTGTTGGGGTGATAAAGCTTATATGTGTGTGTGATATGAAAGAAAATATGTTTGAGTTTATTACTTGAAGATGATAGAGTTATCACTCAGTTCATTTCTTGCTAAGTTAAGAATAAGCCTTAATCTGTACTGTTATGAAGAGGTAAAATTTTAAGTTTGTATGTATGGGGTAATCTTTGGAACCGTTAGCCGATATTCTTTCATTGATAATAGCTACAATGTTCCTGAGTTCTATAAGCTATAAAACATCAATCCACGACCAAAAAGAGACGAGAAGTAGGGTTTAAGTGGGATCGATGTCGTCAGCGGGTTCGAAATCTAGCAAGTACTAAAGTAACTTTTTCCAAGTTGTATTTACTTTCTATTATCATTATTAAGGCACCACGCGTACGGCCGGATAGGTGATCAATGCTCAAATCTCTCTTGTGAGATGAGGCCTTTGCTCACCCGTGGGCACTTATAGGCTGATGATGATGATATTTTATACAACATTTTTTTTACAAATCTACGAATCTAGTAGGTAAAAAATTAATAGAAAAGTTTTTGCAATTTCGAAAAAAGTATTCAATTTGACTTGTTAACAACTAGCCTATTGAACATATACATAAAATATTTTTTTTTATTTAATAGGTCGGCAAACGAGCAGACGGAGATGGGCGGTTTGGAGATTTAGGGATTTAGGAGGGATTGGGGGAGGGGAAGGATTGGGCCTCCGGTAACCTCACTCACACGGCGAAACACAACGCTGTGGTTATTTCACGCCGGTTTTCTGTGAGGCCGTGGTCCGGTCGAGCCGACCCATTCGTGCCAAAGCATGGCTCTCCCACACTTAATATTACTTTCAAATTAATTCTTACACGTGTTACTCGTGTTGTTTTGAACCTTTGGACTTACAGAATCGACATTTGCTTGACATGAAGCGCTTAAACAGAAAAGGGCAAAACAAATTAGCACTAGGTTTTTCTATAAATTACAATCACCTTAAAAGGAACTTCTAAGAAGTGAGCTCGACTTTTGCTGTATTACAAAACGTGTGTAATGAGGAAATATAACATAACGATTAGCTACATTTATTTCCGAATGGGATAAGCAAAGGTACTACGCGAAAGCGAGTAAGGTAGGATTAGATCTTTTTGCCAATCTGAATCCTTGGTGATTTAGGACATAGTATATGCTGAAACACCAGATCATCTCCCCCAATATTATCTACTAGCTACTCTCGCGCGGTTTCACCCGCTGCTCGGCTCCATTTAATCGTAGCGTGATGTTTTATATCCTATAGCACTCAGGAACATTGTAGCTATCAATCAGTGAAAGAATTTTGGAAATCCGACCAGCAATTCCAAAGATTACCCCCTACATACAAACATGCAAACTTACAAACATACAAACTTACAAATTTTACCTCTTTATAATATTAGTATAGATTTGCGTGATAAATCTAAGTAGTTAAGAAGTTTCTTGCTCGTTCTTCTCTATTCGAAAATCCTTAGAATTTGTCACATGGTTGCCATGGTTACCATGCTACCTATTTTTTTTTTGTGAGGGGAAAATCATCAAATGACTTCTCCCGCCCAGGGCCGGGCAGGAGGGAGTGTCAGACTCTTACTGACTAAAAACCCCCCTGTTCCTTCTCCTGCTCTGTGCCGAGGTCGCGGTACCTCATTGCGCTTACCCCGCAACCCCGGCTGAACATCAGCCCTTTAGGGCCCCGTTTGTGGTGGTCGTATGGAACGCTACGCGCCGTACGCTCGGGCCTGGTTCTGGTCGGGCGGCGAGCTGCCCTTACTCGCCGACTGCAGGCCCGTGCTTACGGTGGCCGGAGATCGTCCCTCGACCATGCTACCTATGGTGGATAAAGATATCGGCCATATTGTAAAGTGACGTCAACACATCGACGTTAATGCTACCTAGCGTTTTAGCACGAAATTAAATTGTCATTGGGAAAAAAAAATAATAATGACTGCAACTAGCTGATGGTGGATAAAGATATCGGCCATATTGTAAAGTGACGTCAACACATCGACATCAATGCTACCTAGCGTTTTAGCACGAAATTAAATTGTCATTGGGAAAATTAATGACTGCAACTATAGCTGCTGTGCAGTGTCATCATGCAGATGAGTTCGATTGCCACACGGAATACTTTATGTGATTGTTTTTATGTAGGTAATAGATCGGCAAACGAGCTGACGGATTACCTGATGGTAAGTAATCAGCGCTGCCCATGGACACCCGCAACGGAGGAGTTACGAGTGCGTTGCCGACCTTTTAGAGATTAGGGATTTGGAGATTTAGGGGTTGAGGAGGGATTGGGGGTGGGGAAGGATTGGGCATCCGCTAACCTCACTCACACGGCGAAACACAACGCTGTGGTTGTTTCACGCCGGTTTTCTGTGAGGCCGTGGTATCACTCCGGTCGAGCCGCCCCATTCGTGCCGAAGCATGGATGTGATCGACAAATTGTTGTGTCGGGTCGGGTCTGAGTGACTCGTGTATGTGAATTTCACTGTATGTGAATACCCACGGCATAGAAGAAAATCCTAATGTGGGACAACTTTTATAATATAATATTATAAAAGAAAATATATTTGAAATCGTAATGGCGCGATACAATTAAATTCGCATGTTTTAAAATATGTATATTTGACAAAATATTAAAAGTAGCCAGTACCTATGCAGATTCCTGGCGCTGATTTTTTATATAAATAAAGAATATAACAATATTATAATTTATAGAATCAGGCGTAACTTTGCGGAAATCCATGACATTAAATGTTAGGAAAAATATTTAGTGTTCATCCCGCGAAAAAAATCCAGGCTTGTTGCAGGATGCAATCCCACTCCTATGCAATAATGCATATGCAGATGCGGCAAAGGTAACATACATATGCACACGTGAAAAAAACGGAAAAACATGCCACGCAATCAAACCTATACTCGACACGTGTTTCGCCCCTCCACAGGGCATCCTCAGGAGATGTTGACTCGACGAGCGCTCGTCGAGTCAACATTTTTCACGTGTGCATATGCATGTTACCTTTGCCGCATGTGAATATGCATTATTGCATAGGAGTGGGATTGCATCCTGCAACAAGCCTGGATTTTGGTCGCGGAATAAACACTTAATATATTTCCTAACATTTAACAATATTTTAATTCAAACAAAAAA